TTCACAAACGTGGTTGTATCAGCAAAGTGCTAAAGTACCCGGCGCATCCCTGACTGCTTCCCGGCTGCCTCGCTGGGTGGAGCAGCACGGCCTCGGCCGGACCCCAGACAGCTCTGCCTTTCTCTTAAATATCGAATGCGCTGGCTGAATTTGCTGAGAACGTGTAAACCTGTTTCCTCCTCAGAGCCCAGATGCTCCTGCCCACCAGGACTGCGAAAGAGAGCAAAGCGGGGAGCGTGTGACTCCCGAGGGGCAGCTAGAGGGGTGAGAGCCTCTGCCAGCGTTGAGTCCCCAGCAAACTGGGACCAGGACAAGAACAGCCGAGTTGTCACCAGCTGCGAGTGTGTCCCAGGCAGGGAGGGCGGCGTGGCCTGCTGGAGCTGGGACTCAGCGGTAGGGCTGACATTCGTGGACCTGCTGCTGCCCTCGGCCAGCATGTGGCCTCTCCTGGTAAGGGGAGGACAGCGGCCTTCAGAGGGCGCCTCCTGGTCGTTTCCTTTTATCATACGCATAAACCCACTGCGGGCTTTGGGGCCTCATGCACTCGCACTAGCTGTTTGGCTGTGAACTCTGTGCTGAAGACAGCAAAACCATGACGGCGGGGACTTACTTGGCTCTGCTGACGCTACAAATTACCCAATCCCGTCTTTTGAGCAGTGCTAGTATCATCCCAAGCCTTTGGCGTGTCCATCCTCTCCTCAGGCATTGGCTTTCTTGCTGGCTTTCGTACACATGGAAACACTCACGCAGGTCCTACCATCTGCTGGGCACTGACTGGACTTGTATGATAACCGGATGACAGAGGGGAACGACAGTTATTTCCCAGTGCTGCTGTGGCAGGTGATCATCTGGGATGTTTTGCCATTTTTAACCACGTTGAGCAACTGATTTTTAACTCTTCATCTCTTTAGACACCAGGACTATGTCTGTTCCAGTAAGGAAGAGAGCCCATGGCCGAGGCACTGTGCGAGAGAAGGGCAGCTGGTCTGGGCCAAGACAGTGCAAGAGGTAATCACACAACATGGATATATTGGCCACTGCTGGGGCTCACATGCAGCTCTTCTTTATTTACTGGTATAGAAGTAGGCCAGAGAAACTGGGCACAAGACCAAGAGCTTCCAGTAAAGACTCTATAGACCATTCTTAAAGAAATCCAAAAGGAATGTGTGGTTTTGAAGTTCCAGTTTTGATCTCTACTCATTAACTAAGTATCCTGCCATCATCTGGGGGCTTATTAAGCAACTGCAAACTAATGAAAAGCAGAGAAATAACGATGCTTGCAGCACTTGTCTAGCTGAACTTAATTTGTGACTTGCCAAATCCTCTCTCTGGAGCGTTTATCTGCTGTGGGCTCTCATAAAGCAATCTGCAAAGCAGTTTCAGTATTCCTGCTTTGTGGCACAGACTGTCTGAACATTTTGAAACTTGTCTAGGCAGCAGGGATGGGATTGATCTTATTTAATTGCAATGTAGCAATGTGCAATACTGACGTCCACTTTTGAGATAGTTGTCTGGGTCCTCTTTATGAGCAGTGGTGAAAAATAAGTATTTTTAACATACGATCAATCTCATCTGACGGCAGACACCTAAAAGAGGCCAGATGAATTGCATCCTGGAATTGCCTTCGTCTCTGCCTTGACCATAAAGGGACCTTTAGGGACTGGGTCAGCTATCTACGAGGTAGAAATCTGATATGAGGCAATGTAACTTCTACTCCAGGTGTCCATAAGCATAAGCTGGCACTAAGACAGAGGTTAAGCAGAGTGTGGCAAAAGCATGATAATGATGACTGCTTGGGTGCTATAATGAGGATGGCCAGAGAAGGACCTACACAAATAAGTCTTGTTTTCTGTTTGACATGAGGAACTGTATCTGAAAACAGAGATTAACTTAGAGTCCAGACAGACAGATTTCCCTGCAGTTTCAGCTACATACAGTAACGGCACCCAGCTTAATACCAGCTGTCATGTTACTCTGGTCCAGCGCAGGAGCTGCAAGTTTGAGGACAGACTGGATCTCAAAGGATGGAGGCTGTACCTGCATTAGCCCGTGGTGAGGACCAGCGGGAGCAGATCTGCAGAGCAACACGGTCGTGCGGCAGCCCTGACGCCCGCATCGTGCACGTCGGGGTTGGGCCTCCTGGCTTGTTTTGCTCAGGGCTCGTTCCAGGCTGGTGCCACGAAGGCCCGTCAGTGGCTGACGTGCGTTAGGTCTGCCCTGGAAATGCAGCTCGTTGGCAGCTGGCAGGAATCTTGTTCAAGGGCTTGGAGACTGTTGCGTGGTGAAAACCAAGGCTCAGTAAGTGGAGACAGTTGGGAGATCTGCTCCTTAGAAGGACACTCTGACCCAAACCGAGACACTAATGCAGACTCCTCCAGTGAGACTAGGAAATAACTGCATGTGCAAGGAAAAGCGGGACATCCCCACGCTCCCCTCCCGTGAGTGGGGCGTACCCAGGGACGTGCTGGCCATCCCCAACGAGAACCCCGCACCTGCCTGCAGGATCTGGCCCTGGCACAGCCTCTGCTCTGCGCATCGTCTGCAGAAGAGACAGAGACCGATCGAGTCTCCCGAGGGAGACTTAAGTGTGCTTTAAGGCAGAGCGGCTCCGCACAAGCGCAGCGGCGGACGGAGGCTCCTTGGGGACTGAGCTTGCCCCATGTTCAGCCTCGTGTCTCCCTCCCACCAGCGCCCACGAGCTTCGCCCGTCCTCCCCGAGCCCCTCGGGCCAGGCTCAGACTGCTTTCATTGCAGCTCGGCGCGGCTCCCTGTTTCATTAGTTTTACCTCCTTGTTTTCTCTCCCCAAGATCTGAGAGCGGGGAGCTGCTGAACAACACTGAGATTTGCCTTCCCTGAGGCTTTAGCAGCTAAATAAATAAAGTGGAGAAAAGTGATGCTGCTGGAACGGCAATTACTCGGAGCTGCTACACCTTGACACGACAGTAAAGCGGAGCCGACACCGTGGCTGCAATATGTCCCAAGGAGGCGGCAGAGGCAGCCCAGGGCTGAGGCATAATTTGCAGCGCAGGGACTAGAAAATTTCTGAGAGGGGAGACTGAAGCCAAGGGGAAGGAAGGAGAGGGATGCAGGCTGCAGAGCATTTCCAATGATCTCCTCTAATTGATACTGTCTAATTTTCAGCCTTCACAAAAGGGATGCGGAAGCTGAAAGCTGAGCGCGCAGAGACTGACAGAGCAGCTGCAATCACGCATCGGCTGCAGGGCGCTGCAGCGCACTGAAATATTTCTGAAGAAAGTGTTCTTCTCTATTATTAATGGAACTAATTATTTATTTACAAAACTCTGCGAACAGCTGCTTATGAAACGTGTTAGATCTTGTCATTCAAAATACTAATAGGCAACGGTAACGGTAACAAAGCAGCAGCATCGCTGCATACATTGGGGAGGAAGCTAGCTCTTTGATAGCCAGATAGCGCCTGCTTTATCCCTGAATAAACGACTCCACGTCCCAGCTTGATACAAAGCTAAGAACCACACCTTTGCTCCCTACAGTGGCCTTTTTGGAAACGTACTGAATAAAGATTTGCTTTTCAAGAGCATCAGAATTTAGCTCCAAACGCCGTGCTGATACATCATACGCTCCTTACTGATGCTTTTTGTCTTTTCCTTGCAGTGCACCGTTACAATGTTAGTACTCGCTTATATGGGAATCCTCTAACTTGCCAAATTTGCACATGGCTAGGGTCAAAGCTGGGAAGGACAGCGAAAATCCCGGCTGCAAGATCAGTGGCACATCCACACCCACGCGTTGTTCAGGAACACGGGTGCAGTTTCAGGACGCTTCCAGAAACCCGGCCCCGGAAGAGGAGCCGTCAACTATGCAACGATGCCGTTCTTCCTCTTAATTCCCGCCATACATAAAATACCTGGCCTCAGGATCTGGAGATAATGCCATAAAAGTTAATTAAGTTACATTAATGTGATTGAAGAATTAGACCTAGAAACTAATATGGACAAGTCAAGATAGCAGTAAAGGCACAATGTTTTAGGGTACATGCTTATCTCTACAGCCTGGGAATGGCTCACGGCAAATAGGCTTAAGCATGTATATAGGTCTCGGTGGAATATATTTGATTTTACAGGAGGCTTTGACACTAATTCATTTTTTACTATGGATTTCACAACCATCACTGAGAAAGTGCAGGGCGATGAGTGCTGTAGTCGAGCTCTTCGCACCAAGCAGCTCATAGCGAGCGCCTTATCGCTCCCAACGTGAACCTGTTCTGGCTGCAACTGTGCAGTGGCATCAAAATGCTCTCCCGCAAAAAAAAGACGTATCTTCAAGATACCAGTCAGTTTAAATCCACTGCATAAAGTACAGACCTCTTAGCATAGGACCACATCATCCTGTGTCCTTATACTCCATCCTCTCATACTCCTTTAGGCATCTCTTCTCCTAACAAGAAGCTTCTGTTTTTTTGCTGAAAACCCAGTAAGAGAAAAGATTTTGTTGTGTCATCAGAATTGCCCTTTTTATCCGTTTTGTCTTGTGTTTTCAGCCAAACACTGCTCCTGACCTGCTCGAGCGGTCGCAGCACCTTGCACAATATGACACCGACCCCAGCGGGTCTCGCAAAGCATTTCTGCTGTGGCGTGCTCGGTGGGGAGGGCAGAGACCTGGGGGCACTGCCGAGCGGCGTCATTTCCAGAGAGCGTGGTCACATCCACGTCACCGCGCGTGGCTCCGACGTCGGCAAATTCAGCCGAGGATGAAGACAGCAACGAAGCTCTGGCCCCGAGGCACTGACCACCAAGGAGTGCTCCAACACCAGAATTTATGCAAGTGGTTTGCTCTGGAAACCACTGGTCTGGTATGCCTAATAACCAGACAGAGGAGACTGTAGTGCTGCCAGAGGTGGTGCCTTGGAGGGCCAAGAGAGGGGAACTCACTCTGCCGTGCCATCCGCCTTACCCTTCGCAGGCCTGTGGATTGGGTAGCAAGGAGGGCAGGAAGGAGAAAAAAATCATTAGAAACGTACCGGCGAAGAGCATCCTTCCCGTGAGCATCTCGGCCAGAATGCAGCCAGCCGCCCACATGTCGATGGCTTTGGTGTAGTTGTTCGGCGAGAGGAGGAGGCGAGGGGAGCGATACCACTTTGTTACTAAGCCTTCGGAGAGGTAACCCTGAAAGAGTAGAAACAGAGACATCGATCACTTTGCAAGACAGTTCTTCCATCCCTGCCCTAAGCTGCTGAATCTCTTGCGGAGGGGATACGTTTAGCACACACAGTCCTCAGCGTGGAGAGCTCTTGTTTTAACCTAGGAAGAGGCCAGAAGCAGATTTCTCTACTTACTTACACATTTCCTCGGTTGGCAAGCGTCGCGTAAAGCAGACGCCCCAGCAGGTCAAAGCAGGATCGCTCTTGCCCTCGCTCGGCCAGACAGCAAAGGGCGCTCGCTGCAACGCTGCGCGGGTCCTGGCAGCGCCCGCTCGCGGCGGGGGCCCCGGCACCTCCTTCCTCACCCGCCTCGGCAGCACCCCTTGCTCCGAAATTCCCCCCTGACCGCCGCCGCGGCCCCGCTGGAAATACCCTCTAAATTACACTAATCCAAACCGTAGCCCAGAAAACTTATCCGCTGTTTATCCCCATGACGCTGAGGCATCTTCCGCAAAGGGCAGGTGGCTTTAATAGCGCCTATCTGTGTATCGTACATGCGAAAAAGCAATTTCAGTTTACTGTTAGAGGACTAAAAGGCATTATATAAATCTCAGTTCAATCAGCTGAGACGTTTTCAGTTGAGCACGTTCTCGAGGACTTTGCCAGAACTGGGCCCTAGCTATAACGCGCCAGCGCAGGAAGGACAACGCTCCAGTGTCGCGAGCGTAAGCACAACGCTCGCGCTTCCAGCCTTTACCAGTCCGCAACGTTGTGCTCGTTCTGCCGGTAGTTAATGCAGCACCCGCAGTCCCTCTGTAGTTAACTAAGCTGCCTGCAACAGCGAGGTATACAGCAAGCAACGTGAAATCCTGAGCGAGCTGAATTCCAAGCCTGAAAAGGACAAAATATAGCACTGCCGCCGAAGCTGATTTTTCAAACAGCATAACCTCACTGGGGAGCCCGTATGAAGAGAAGCCGCCCTGAGCAATGTATAGGACCCAGCTGAAATGATTAATGTCCAGCAGCAGCGCCGTGATAGCAAACACAGGTAGCCAGGCTCAGCGTCGGGACGGCAGGACGAAAGCTACAAAGTCCGTGACAATAATGCTTAATCTCACAAAAGGGAACTACGTATCAATGAGAAACGTTGTTAAAAATCAATGCGAAGGGGCAGCCAAAAGGGCAGCGTGCCTGCAAGCCTCCCGCTGCCTATTCAGAGGCGCAGCACTAAAAGCCCAGAGCAAAGCCGTACCATCTATCAAAAAAAGTCTTCAGAAGAAAGCAGAAAGCTGGCACAGTTAAAGAGCAGGATAGAGGAAGCTATTAGAAACGAGCCCTTCTTTAAAAAGTTAACGTTGCTTCCAAACAAAGGGGAAAAACCACGAGCAATCGGGCAGGCTCCGTGTAAAAACCCAACGAGCAGGGGGAGGCCGATGCCCCAAACGCACAAAAACTAACGAAACGCCCTTTTTCAACCGCAGCAGAGGCAGGAAGCCTGGCGGGGGGCGCGCAGGGCTCCTGAGCGGCCCGAGCGCAGCGCAAGCGCGCAGGAGGCGACGGCGCTGCCGAAAAGGGACGCTGCCGGGGACGTCGCGGGGCTGCCGCGGCAAGCCACCCTCTTCGGGGCGACGCTCAGGAGCATCCCCTTGCACGTTGGGCAACCACTCGCCTGCAGCAAAGCGCCGGACCAGGCAATCCGCCCCTGAGGTTTCTCAAGGAAAAATGCCGGGCCGGTTGCTGTGCCGTGCAAGCCGCTGCTTAAAAACGGGACTCGAAATGAGAGAAAGAGAAGATAGCGAAGCTGCCCTGCTCTTCCTTGCCTGCACGTAATCGTACGGGCACAGAGACATGCCAGCTCTGCAAGCAACACGAAGCACGGAGGTCCATGCTCCCTGTAATTCAGCGTTACTTATTAGGGGTTCATTTTGCGCACATATGCATTGCGTGCATATCATCACGTTAAAAGCATACGCGAGACTGCAGTCCCACATAACGCCGAAGCTGTTAAGCAGCTGACGCTTCCTAATTCACTGAGCTACAAGAAATGCTGAAAACTCTCTAGAGGCGCTGCATCGCATTCGAACCGACCCAAGGAAGGACCCTGAGGTTTCAGCGTTCGCTGAAACGGAGGTGCTCTTACCGGCGGTGGTAACACAGAAAATGGTTAGTCCGATCCCTTCAACCTGCACTAGGACATAACGGTTTGTTTGCCCACCAGGACAGCACTTGTCCGGGTGGGCAAACATCTCAACATCTCAACATCTCAGGACTTGCTTCCACGGGACGCCCAGGCTGCTGAGAGCAGCACCTTCTCTGGCCCGCAGTGCTCCGGTTCCTGGAGTCACTTAGGAGATTTAATAAAAACGTCTGTGGCCTGCTATAAGTTGGTTCCCCAGGTTTTGTTCAAGCACTTAAGTAAGTTTTTCAAAAGGGTCAAGCGCTCAGTAACACCCACCGAAATCAAGGAGACGCGTTCAATCCCATTAATAACACTGAAAGACAGTGCAGTCCCTTAGACTGGCTCTAGCTCACCGCGTTGAAGATCGTCTCTCTTGCAGTCTATCAGCATCTTCCAGGTTCCTTAATTTATTCCAGCCTTGTGCACGCTCACCCTACAATAAATTACCAACTGCGTTCTGCGGATCCCGCCCCAAAGATAATTTCGTCATTCCTCCTCGTTGTGCAGACAGGAGCTCCCCGGCACCAGGCTGCTCTGCTCCCTGGCCAAGCTCCGGACTGGGCGCCGCACCGTGTTCAAACACGAAAGGTTATTTCATCAGCATAATGTCGGGATATTCATCTGTGGCCTTCCAGATATTAAATACGCACTAACATATCTTGATGCAGATTGAAACACGCTAGACAAGTCCAAATAAAACGAGATGATAAAACTGAATCACCTTGTACTGCCATGAAACATTTGGAGAGCATCCAAATGTAATGAGAAGGTGAAAATGGTTCGTATAAATCCTTAGTCAAAAAGCTCCATCCTAACGGATGTCGTTCCACGAGCCGTTTCCCGCTGCAATATAACTGCATTTTGCCGTGCAGAATTCTCCCATCCAAAATGATTCAACTAGATCTGTTCTTTTAATCCTTACTCCTTGTAATCCCGTTACAAGGCCAAGATGCTCCCGTGACCGTTCACCCTCCGAATTTCCAGCACTCCAGTCAGCCTCTACAAGCAGCGAGCCCCGGCGGCTGGGAACGGGTCGCCCCCCAAGCTCGCTCCTCCCGAAGCATGGGATGCATTTCCTTGCTGCTTGGAGCCGCTGCTATTGCTACGGGAGCCCGTCGCCGGCCAGAGCCGCCTGGCTGACTCCACAGCACCCAATGTAAGGGTGCAGTTGCGGAGACGAAACGAGCAAGCGAGCTGTGTTAGCGAGCTCCCGGCTCGGGGAAGCTGCTCCCCAAGGACGGTGGGGATCGCGGTCCAGGACGGTCGGTGCCAAGAAGGGCCGGGGAGTTGGGAGCGCCCCTCACTCCTGCTCTGGAGGAAACGGCGAAGACTATTCTGAAGGCAGTTGTGAAGATAACATAATTATTGCCTTGTTCAAGCTGCGAGCTGTGAGGCTCAAGCGTGGCAAAAAGCAAGAGGTCCACAGTAAACACCACTGCCCCGTGGCAGCGG